ATTTCGAAGCTTTTCGAGCTGGGCGCGGCCGACGAAAAGGTGGCCAGGGACGGACCGAGGAGGCAAGGATGCAAGGGTACCCTTGGGAAGGCTGCCCATCCTTCCTATGCGGGCTGACTGTATTTGCCTCCCGCAGGGAGTATTGGCATTGCCCCTGGCCCGACGGCGCGGGCCAAGCTTTCGGGGCGAGTGGAGCGTCGGGGACCGCAGACGGCCGGCCCGGCTCGGGCGCCGTTCCCCTGCGCCTCCCTGCTTTTCCGAGCCGCGTCTGGCCGCGGCGATGAGAGGGGGCCCCGCACGGCCAAACGGCGAGGAGGACGAGGCCACCTCCTGCGCGCCGCCCGTCTTCCCTGCTCCATGCGTTCCTCATCCGCGCGGCGGCGAGCGGTATCCTCGAACCAGTTCTGCGGGAGCCAGAACTGGAACAGCAGGTCGTTTACGGCGCACATGAACATGAAGCCCGAAGTACCCACGAAACCGACCACGGCGATCGTGAAGACGAAAACAGAAGTCTTGATCGGCATGAAGTTGATGGCATCCATTGCTTTACTTCTCCTGTATCGGACGAACGCAGCGAGCTCGTATGTACACCAGAGCCGCTCGAAATAATCGTCGTCAAACGGGATGAACATTGTGTTACTCTGTTTCACAAAACTCCCCACGAACTCCACGCCACGTCTCTTCTTCTCCACGTCGGTTTGGTGGATGCAACACTTGTCCAAGAAAACGGTCTTTCGGTATCCGAACCTCGTCGAGGGCGACAAGCACCCCCCTGCACACTGGTCCTGGCTAGGCGAATCCTGAGCTCAGGGGCGGTGTCCTGGCAGGGCAGGCGTGCGCTGTACACCGAGCCCGGGCTCAGAAGTGGCCCGACCCAGACAGGTGCAGGTGGACAGTTGGCGCGCTCCCCAGCTCCGCCCAGAACCAGATGAAGTGTCCGAAAACGTAGGTCGCAATCTGCATCACGCACCCCGCGAAGAAACACGGACCGCACACCGGGAGCCCCCTGAGAGAAGGAGGAGGAGGAGGTGGAGGAGGAGCAGAAGAACAAAAAAGATTTGCATCTCTTCAGGACCGCACTCCGCTGCACCTCCCGGGTGGCGACGGCTGCGCAGTTGGCGGCCCCCCAGGGAGGCGAGGTCTGGCGTGGACCCCCTTTTGGGACTGCACTCCGCTGGACCTCCGACCTCCCTGGGAGAGCCCACGAGAGCGGCGCCAGCTGCACGCCGTCGGCCACCCCGCAGAGAGGCGAGGTCGAGCCGTGGTCTCTTCAGGACCGCACTGCGCTGGACCTCCCAGGAGCTCGCGAGAGTGACGACGGCTGCGCAGTCGGCAGCCCCCGGAGAGGCAAGAACTGTGTGGCCTCGATCCCTGAAGGACCGCACCCCGCTGAACCTCCAAGTAGACCGCGAAGGAGGCGGCCTTTCCAAGCACCAGAGGGGGTCACGGTCTGAACTGCACCCCTTCAAGACCGCACTTCGCTGGACCTCCCAGGAGCTCACGGAAGTGTCGACGGTTCCAGAGTTGGCAGGCCCCAGGGAAGCAAGGACCAGCGTGCATCCTTCAAGGACCGCACCTTTTCTGGATGTTTCCTGGAGATCGCGAAAGAGACGACACTTGTAACATTGGCCGCCCCCCGGAGGCAAGCACTAGCTTGGATCCCTCGAAGATCGCACCCTGCTGGACCTCCCAGGAGCTCGCGAAAATGGCGGGCCTTGCACAGTTAGCAGCCCCCAGGGAGGCGAAGAAAGAGGAAGGGGAAAATGAGGGAGGAGTTAGCGGACAGGCAAGAAGGAGGAGGCGGGAGGAGGGAGGAAGCAATGACGTTCCAGCTCCTCCTCCTCCTCCTCCTCCTCCTCCTCCTCCTCCTCATTATCATCATCATCAGCATCATCAGCGTCATCAGCATCATCCTCATCCTCATCCTCATTATTATCCTCAACCTCATCCTCATCAGCATCATCAGCATCATCATCATCAGCAGCATCAGCATCAGCATCAGCATCAACATCAGCCATCTACATCATCATCATCATCATCATCATCATCATCATCATCATCATCATCATCATCATCATCATCATCATCATCATCATCATCATCATCAGCATCATCATCAGCATCATCATCAGCACATCAGCATCATCAGCATCATCAGCATCACCACCACCACCACCACCACCACCACCATCATCATCATCATCATCATCATCATCATCATCATCATCATCATCATCATCATCATCATCATCATCATCATCATCATCCTTTGTTTCCTCCTCCTCTTCTCTGTCCTCCTCTCCCCCCAGCCCTCCCACACCTCCTCTCCGCTCCTCCTGTCCTCCCTTCCTTCTCTCATCGCCGTACCCCCTCGTTACCTCGCTGTTCACACTCGCCGCCGGCCCTCCTCTCCTTTGCCTCCTGCCCCCCCCTCCCTCCTCACCTCCCCCCTCTCCTTATGATCACGTCCCTCCTCCTCCTCCTCTTCCTCCTCCTCCTCCTCCTCCTCCTCCTCCTCCTCCTCCTCCTCCTACGCTGCAGCATCGGCGGCGGCGGAAGCGACGGAAGCGGCGACTGCGCGACTGGCGGCGACGACCACGACGACGACTGCGGGGGCGGCGGAGACGATGGTAGCGACGGAGACGACGACGACGACGACGACGACGACGACGACGACGACGACGACGACGACGACGACGACGACGACGGTGACGGCGGAGACGACTGTGACGACGGTGACGACGACGACGACGACGACGACGACGACGACGACGACGACGACGACGACGACGACGACGACGACGCTAGCGACCGAGACGGCGGCGACGGCAGCGGCGGCGACGGTGCTGCCCACGGCAGCGGTGGCGACGGCGGCGACGAGGACGGTCGACGACGGCGCCCCCCCTTCGCCAGCCCATGATTTGGGACGCACAGAGACATACTAGTACCATGTGTCCTCCTTGGAGGCGCGCGTCCGACCCGAACGTCTAGTATACCCGTCTTGTAGTACATCATTTCCCGAGCAGTGTGGCCAGAAAGCGCCCGCCACGACTCAGAGGGCCTTGAAAGGCAAGAGGACCTTGAAGTGCAAGACCATTGATTTACGATAGGCTTCTTCAACGGAAATCGTCACGTTCTCGGCTTCTCGGGCTTATGGAAATACAGAATGGCCCGAGAGGCCCTCCAGACCGGCTCAAGACGGCTGAAGAGGCCTCCATGAAGGTCCAGAGAAGGCCAAAGAGGCCCGCAAGACGGCTAAAAAGGCCTTCAAGAGAGCCCCAAGTGCTGGAACTCAAGGACCCCAGAGCCGTCCCCCACGAGATGGCGCCCAAGACTCTCTCTGATATAATATGCCCTCAAACTCCCCGTAGGTCTTGAAGAGGCCCCCACGATACCTCACAACAGACGAGGAGGAAGAGACGGCCGAATCCGCAGCAATAAACGCATGCAGCACGACGGGAAGAAATCGGAAGCCGCACATCTGGTTTCTGGGGGTTGGCAGAATGGCGTAAGCCTCTTGAGTGAAACCTGAATTACAATCCTTACTGGGTTTGTGCATCCCTGGGTGTGGGTCTGAGTTCACGATTGGACTTGCGGACAACACAACGGACTCGCGCCCGAGCAGGAGCGCAACGGACTGGAAAAAACAGCCGCGGCACGGTAAGCACATAGTTTTGCTCCCTCGCGCGCCGGGACACGCCTCGGAGAGACCCTGCGAGCGATTAACATGCACCGCCCCGAAACAGAAGCGCAACTTTCCGAGCAACAGCACGTGGAACCGAAGCATAAATGACATTCCGCCTTTTCGCCTGCGATGTGCGCCGCGACCCGCTCCTGCAGCGTATTTAGCAGTGTCGGCGAAAGGATGCTCATGCTGAACGAAATCACACCAGCTCCGTTTGGTACTTCGACGGATTCAGTGGAGCATCTCGCTGTTGAACCCGAAATGGGCGAAAACGACAGGAAGCACATGAGCTACGAGTAATTCGCCGGCCCAACGGGCCAGGGCGTGCTAAGATCTCCGGTAACTGGTTAACAGTATTAACAGTATTTCTAGTTCGCGCGCGCGGGGCGGCCCCTGGGGGTCCCCCGGCGAAAAGTACCCCGACCGCCGCCCGACCAAGTCTACTCAGAGATGGTTTTCCTTCTGGGTGCGGCCTCTCAGGCTCCCCAGAGCGCGCTCAGAGTGCCCCAAGAGGCCCCCAAGACTGCCCAAGAGGCCCCCGAGACGCCCAAAGAGCGCTCGAAGACGCCGAAGATGACCCCAAGACGGCCCAAAAGGCCCCCAAGACAGCCCAAGAGGCCTCCAAGACGCCCCAAGAGCCTTCCAAGAGGCCTCCGAAGAGAGCCCCAAGAGGCCAAAATCGTTGATTTCCATTAGTTTTTTCTATGTTTTTTGTGTTCTGGCTTTTTCGGCTTCCGGACGCTCCAAGACGGCCCAAGAGGCCCCCAAGACCGCTCCAAGACGGCCCACGAGGCTCCCAAGACGGCCCCGGAACGGCCCAGGAGGGCCCCCAAGACGGCCCAAGTGCCGCCCAAGACGGACCAAGAGGCCCCAAGACGGGCCCAAGAGGGGCTCAAGAGGGGAACCGAGAACTGAAAAATCGAGCCCTCCGCCCCAGAAGGCGCCCAGGAGGCCCCAAAAAGGCCCCAAGAGGCCCCCAAGAGGCCCCCAAGACGCCCCAAGAGGCGCCCAAGAGGCCCAAAAGAGGCCCCAAGAGGCCCCGAAACGGCCCCCAAGAGGCCCCAAAACTCGGCTAGCCCACAACGGTGCGACAATATGGGCCGGCGGAATGAGCGAAGCGATTAAATAACGATGGAAGCAGGAGCAGCACAAGTAGGAGTAGGAGCAAGCCTGGGGTACTCGTCCACGTTGCCAGGCATCGGCACGTAGAAACAAGGCAAGAGACTCCCGTACGGAGTCAGCTCCTTGATCGCGAGGAGTGCCAGGAAAGTGAAAAGGGCTGCGAAATGAGCGGCCAGAAAAGAGAAACGCCCATTGAAGTGGTACAGCATAGCAGTGTACTTCAGGTACTCGTCCGAGCTCCACGTGTGAGACAGGAAGATGTCGATGTGTCTCTGACCTCCCGCTCCCCCATCCAGTTTCTCGTCCCTCCCCCCTTCCTCCTCCGCCTCCCCCTCCTCCTCCTCATCGGTCCTCCTTCTCCTCCTCTTCATCAGCCCTCCTCTAGATATACATCCCTTTTCCTTATAACCAACCACCCTGTCGCAACCCAAGATATATTAGTAGGGCGGGCCGTGCGTTTCGCCTAAGACTTCCTCACCACTTGTGACCCCCAAGCCTAGAAGCTGCAGCAATTTCATGGATGGACGGCGGGCGGTTTTCAACGCCGAACACATCCGTATTAACAACTTGCATAAGCTTCACGGACGGAGGGCGGTTCCTTCTCAAAGTGACACGCACACTCGCCCTGAGAGTTCACAGCTGTTTCAAGGATTCTTATGGTTGGCGTCCCAGCAATGGTGTCTTGGCACGATGTCGCACTGTATGGGCGCAACCGTCCCCGTTGATTCGCGGTGTTGAAATAACAGGAATGGTGTCTTGGCACGGTTCAGGATTTGCAGACGGTTGTCTTCCGACGGGGCACTTCCCTCATTGAAAATGAATCCTCGTACGGCCCTGTGAAAAGGGAACTTCGAGGGAAGGTCTGTTGCAACATCGTCGATGCGCTTTGGGTTTAAACTGGTCCTCCTCCTCCTCCTCATCCTCCTCCTCGATCCTCGATCCTTTTCCTCCTCCTCCAGCTCCTCCAGCTCCTCCTCCTTCTCGATCCGCCTCCTCCGGCCCCCTAATCCACCTCCTCCTGCATTGTCCCTGGCCTTCGTCCAGCTGCTCGGAGAGCAGGTACGTGGCCTCCGTCTGGCTGTTGGACATGAGGCTCGGGCCCTGTGCCAGCATGCGAGAGACTGGGAGGCCGCGCCACAGGTCGAGCGGGACGACGCCTGGGGCGCTCGTCGTGGTCGTCGACGTCGTCGTCGTCGTCGCCGCCGCCGCCGCCACCACCGTCACGGTCGTCGTGGTCGTCGCCGTCGTGTTCGTCGTGATCGTCGCCGTCGTCGTCAGCGTCGCCGTCGTCAACGTCGCCCACGCCGTCTTCGTCCTCATTGCCGCCGTCGTCGTCAACGTCGTCAACCTCTACAGGAGCCAGGCTCGTGTCCCTTCGAGGATACACGCGGAGGCGGGCTGGAGAAGGGGACAGCTGGCGCGAAGCAGCTCAAAGACTCACCCAGTGTGGATTTTCATCGTCATCATTTTCAATGGGGTCGCTGAGGGGAAGGCTTGCTGACAGCGTTGAGACAACTGGGCACGAGCATGCAATCGACCAAAACAAAGGGGTCGGCCACGTGGAGATGCTGTGGCGGCTGTTGTCTCAACCTCTTCTCATCGCATCCGCGTGGCTGCAGAAGTGAATCGCCTGCAAGCGGTGGGGCGAGAATGACCGTGGTCGCGGGCACTGGTGTATTCCTCTCCAAGATCACAATGCCAGCCACTCACTTCGCGGGGTGCGTGCTGGGCAGAGGGACACAGCGGAGGAGACACGGAAGAAGGAGAACGCGGAGGAGGAGCGGAGAGAGCAGGCGGCCTGGGGGCAGCCGAGGACGAGGAGCGAAACGGAGGCGGAGGACAAGAGAGAAGGGGGGCGGGAAAGGGCGGAGGCGCCAAAGAGGCGGACGGCGACGCCCGGGGAGAACGACGGCGCTCGCGGCAACCAGGCGGGACCCGCAAGGCGGCGAGGGGTGCCGAGGATGAAGGGCCAAGGGCGGCGACCGCGTCTGCCGGAGCGCCAGGCGACAGCGCGCAGAGGGAGGACGGCAAAGCCAGAAAGGCCAAGAACGACCCTACGACGACGACGATGACGACGACAACGACGATGACAGACGACGACGACGGACGACGACGACGACGACGACGACGACGACCAACGACGACGACCGACGACGACGGCGAGGACGAGGACGACGATGAGGATGACGACGACGATGACGACGACAACGACGATGACAGACGACGACGACGGACGACGACGACGACAACGACGACGACAACGACGACAACGACGACGACGACGACTCTGGGGCCTTCCACTTTGAGGCTCAGGAGGAGACGGGGGCTGCGGCTGCAGAAGCATGGCCGCCGTCCTGGCAGCCTGGAAAGGCAAAGCGAGGAGGCAGGCTGAGGCAGCTACCGCCGCAAACGTTTGGGCGATGGGGGGCACATGGCAGCGGAGTCACGCAATTTTGGCTCTTGGACAGAAGCGTGGCGACAAGACAAGCGCGACAGGGGCGACGGAGAGCAGTCCAATCCCGACGTCCCCAGAAAAGCACGCGGAAACGCTGGAGAAAAAGGGCAAGAGGTGGACATGTGCGCACGCATTCAGCCTCTGGCAACAAAAACGGACGCGGTGGGTATCGCCGTTATGGAATAGGGCACGAGCAAGCAAGAAGCCCAGAGCAGATGATGGGGAAGAGCAGGCGAGCGCAAGAGGCCAGAGAGGGAGGAAGCCGCTGGTCCCGCTGCTCTTGTACATCCCCGATCCTCCTCGATCCTCGAGCCTCTCCTGGGGAGGGGGAAAGGGTTGCTCCGCCCCCCGGGCAGGCCGGCGCGGTCGTACCCCAGCGGCATCTCGTCCAGCCACGCCCGCACCTTGAGGTCGTGCGCGCCGCAGAAGTCCCAGTCTTCATACTCGCCCTGCCATGCGCGTCGTTGCTCCTCCTCCTCGTCCTCCTCCTCCTCCTCCTCTTCCTCTTCCTCTTTCCGTCCGTCCCACTTCCTCCTCCTGCCCCTCACTCTAACCTCCTCCTCCTCCTCCTCCTTCTCCTCCTCCTCCCTGCCTCCATCCCTCCCTCTTTTCCTGTTGGACGGCACAATCCGCACTGTTACAGGCCTACCTGATCGTATAAGAAGGTGTCACACGTTCAATCGAGCGTTTCTCATGGCCAGCTCTGCGAGAAGCTATGCGAGAAACATAAGCAACAAACCACATCGTCGAACACAATTGCCTCTACGGTGGGCGACGACACGCGGGAGGCAAGAAAAATGCAACACGCTGCTGAAAGAAACACATGCGTGAAACCGTTGCGACTCACGATGGCCTCTAATATCCATGCCGCGGCGGAGCGCGAACTTGCACGGGCGCCCCCATCAGAATGACAAACGAAGTTCGCGCCAACAATGCTGACGTCTGGTATCGCGGGCGGAACATCCGTCATCCAGCTGCTCCCGGTGCCCATAGCGTGGTTCACCAGAAAATGTGCGATGTAATTGTGCTCCCTTCGCCGCCATAGTACCAGATCGGAAACGGCTGTGTGCGGGATCCACCCTGCCTCATGAGATCATACATGCGCGGCGTAAGCTATTAAAGAGAGGGGCGAATCGAGAGGCGGCAAGACGGCAACGCCCACCTACAATGTCCAGGAGAGACTTACAATGAACGGCAAAAGCCATGCAAGCAGACGAGCTCTCGAAATCTATTCACATGTCATGCTCTCGTTCGCGGTGACTTCTATGTCATGGTCGGACAGCATTGCGTCGCTTACTTAGGTGTCGGTCTGGTTCCGGAACTGCTGCGGGCGTAGCCAGAAGATCCCACATCGCGCCGACGGTCGCGGCTAACTCTGTGAAGAACTTCGGCCACCCTGCAAAAACATGACACGAATCGCGTCGAGCCTCCCGGCATGGCCCGAGCACCTCGCAGAATATATCGTATCATTCTCGCTGGTACGCCATGCAAGCATGGACGAATCCAGCAGCGCGTCTCTGCTTCTCGATCGACCTGTCCTTCGCGCCTTCCCGCCACAGTCTGTTGCGAAAGCTCCAGGCGATATGGATTCAGTTGAAGCCTCCAGGGAAAGAAAAGGATCTCTCCCTCCAGGTATTGATAAACATAACTTTCCATACTTTGACGTGGATCAACGCGTGGCCCGTCTTTTTGAAACATCCTTGGACAAGGTGAGATGCGAGGGAGCTCTAATCCGCGGTGCTCTCCTCTGGCCGACGCCTGCGGTTCAAAACCTCCCTCAACAACCGATTCCCAGAAAGACGAAGACTCATCCAAATGTGTTTTGACAAATGCCACGTGCAACAACCGTGCAAGGTTGACGGCGCGGGCGCGGCTTACCATGCCGAAGATTTGTTCTGAATCTGGCCCAAATCCGTTACGGTCCCACAGTGTTTCCAGAATCACTTGCTGGAACGGTGCTCCATAACAGCCTCTGTGTCGCAACAATAATCGAACACCGTGCCCACAATTCACATGCAACTGACTGGGGACATCGCCATGCCGCCTGAAACGGCGGGGGCTCGAGTTGTAGGTCTTCTTTCAACGAGCCGCGCGGCATAGGCTCCAAAGAAGATGTCTCCACTGGGAGCCAACGTTCTGGATCACTTCGGTGAAGTCTGCCATCGTTGAAACTAATTTGCAGGCCCACCAACGTCGCGAACATAATATGTTGTCGGCCAGACCAGATGAGTAAGCAAACAGAAATCGTTATCAAAATCAGAAAAATCGAAACCATCGCCGCCTCCCCCAACAATTTACGAGAATCTTCATGATCACCTCAAAAATGCAAGTGAATTCGTCCGGAACCTCCACGCCACATTGTTTGCCGCCACGTTCAAGAATCAGGAGAAACGGAACCGCTGACCCCATCTCCTGGCAACTCCATTGGACAATCCATATGGAAAACCTCTTGCATCGACACCTACACCACTGCCCGGTGCAGGTCACGGCCTGAGGGCGCAACCGACATGCAATCGTGGAGCATGCAATCAAACACTGTCGAAATATATGGCCACGGCCGAGTACCAGGGGGCGCCCCCAACGATATGCAATGAACACTGTATGTCCGATAATGGCCCCAATGTCGTCATAACTGTATCCAGGCTTGAAGCCCAGCGCCTCGATTGGTGAAGGCACCAATGAAACTCGCACCTGAAGTTGCAGACACCACGTGCACCATGTCAACCGAGTGTCAAATTTGCCGATCCAACGGGCAGACCCAAGAGATGTCACGAGCCGCTCTTGTAGTACGCCGCTGAGTTCAATGCTCTTGAACGACGCTGGGACACCTAAATCCTCCCCGTCGCGCCTTAAAAACGCATGACGTCAAACATCTCGCAAACACATGCGCGTTGCATGCTGATGAAGCCCAGCCAGAATGCGATTGAGACCAGCCCGTGCTGAGAGCACAGAACACATGCAAAGCAGGAAATCGAACGCCGTCCAGATTCTCGTTTCTTGCGAGCACCTCCAAATACCTCAGCCGCTGGCGTCGCGTCTCGTTCGGATTCCGATTATCAACGAGACTAACGCACCGATCTTCAACGCCTCACTCAACCGCGGCTGTCCGCGTGCAGCGTCGCAAGCTTTTATGTTCAACGTCCGGGGCAAGGGGTGAACCTGCGATCGTTTACAGGTCGCCTTCAATCGCGCCTTCACCCGCCGTTCTTCGAATACTTTCCGCCTAGCTCGCCAGAGGTCATGGACAGCAGCGCGTCTTGTCCCTGGGGCCGTCACGGACACAACCTTTCTGACCTTCATCGCAAGTTGGTCTCACGTAGTCCTGTCACGATTGTCTCGAGGCTGTGCGGTCTCGAAAGCTATCTCAAGCGCGCTGTGCTTGATACCTGTATGCAGGTGATCAAAATCAGAACGGGCAAGCTTCATGCAAGAGCGTTTGAACTGAACGCTGTCCGCAACAGACGAAGGCCCCCATCCCCCGAGCGACATAGAACGACAAGCAGGAGGTGACAAAGCACATGGCAGCGACAACTCTGCGACAACTGGTCGGCGATCAGATGCTGGAGGCTCCGCGGCTCTGCAGTGCCGATCACCTCCTCCGAGACAAAGATGAAGTCAGTCTGATAGTATGTAGAACGTTTCTTCTTCACCCTGCCCGTCCAAGCTGTAGACCCTATGTCTGCCTCGCTGGCCTGGCCGGGGGACGTGTTCAGCGCGCGTGGGCACAGAACCCCGACCAAGACACGAGCGCCCTGATATTAGCGAGAACGCGGTCTCCATCCGGCTTTGACATATGATTTCCGGGATACCCCTCCAGACCAGTTGCGAGGGAAACGTTAGCATCGACTTCGAGAACAACATGGAACACAATATCACGATACTTCACTTGTACGATACGCCCGCAATTCAGCTGTCGAGGAACACGCCCTCCGCCCGGCCCCCTCGAGATGCTGCATAGATTGCGGCAGACATCCAAAGTCTACATGCAATAAACGCGCTGGCCAGAGTTCGTGGAATCATCACTTGCGTCCCAAGCTGAAATTTCCTGCGGAAGCCATACAACTTTCCAAACAGTGTGCCAAAGACGTTTGCAAATTCTCCTTGCGACGTTCTGGCTCTTCTGGCAAGTATTCCGAGAAGTGGTACTCACTCGATGCGCCCATGGATTCACAGCGCAACGTGCTCACCCCTCCCAGACGGAGGCGAACTCCATGCGAACGCCCTTCGCTTCGAATCCGAAGGCCATGCTCACGCCAGCGGCGTCCCACTCGATGCTGGAATCCTGCGGGGCCGTGCTGGCGTTCGTCTCGCCCTGGGGGGTCGAAGTGGTGAGCAGCCACTCGGGAGACCACGAACATTGGGCAGTCGCCGGCTCGCTGAACGCCCTGGCTGTGCTCTGGAAGGATGCCCTCGCCCCCCCCCCCCCTTGCCGTAAAAACGCTGCTGGGCGGGAGGCCCCTTCCCCACTGACGTGCACGAGGTGCTCGCGTTGAGCTGGCCAACTGGGCCGTTGGCGAGGGCGCTCGGCGGCGGACGGCGGGGTCAGCCGCAAGCGTACTATTAGTGAACCTGGGTCTAAAAGCTTCGATCTCGCCGACTTTCGGCTGTTAGGATACTGGCAAAGGTGTCCTTTGGAGTGTTCCAGAATCGCCTCACTGCCCCTAATCATGCCCTTGCTCCTGCGCTCTTTGAGCTGACGAAAACTTGGATCTCGATGCGTTGGTTGGTACGAAAACATTGCCTGCAGTACAGTTGAGCGTTGAGGCGGTAGGCGCGCCGGAGGATGCGCCGACAAACGAACGACACCACGCCACCTGAGGCCCGCCATGTTGCGCTAACCGCGCAACAGCCCGCGCCAGATTTCCTGACATACGCCACGCCCCCTGGCGCCGTCGGTGCGAGCACAGGGAGGCGGCCGAGGGGCCGTTCCTGTGCGGGGTCTGTAGGTAGAGGCCAGGAGGGTGACGCCTTTCTCCAAGGCGCTGCGCATTGCGCAATGCACAATGGTCAGGATGCCAATGCCTGAGCCAATACATTTGCGGAAGGGATGCAATAGGGAAGTGAGCGGACTTCACGCACACCCCCCGCCCCGGAACCTGCCAGCTCCCGATGGCCTCGGGCCCACGGGCAACAACGGCAGGGATCGGGAACAGAGGTGCGCGGTCCACTCACAGCCCCGTTTCATCCTCCGCCCCTCCAAACGAGGGCGCGTTGACTAGGAATGTGGGGGACAGAACCAACCCCGCCACACGGGCTACTTCGGAGTATATACCCGACTTGGCGGGCCCAGGGTGCGCCCCCCAAAAAACGCTTCGGCGCTCCTGGACGATGCTCCGTCACCACAGGTGACAAGGATGGGAGAGCAAGGGATAGAGAGAGAAGAATAAGTGGCACCAGCATCCCTCGATGCAGGTGTCGCCACCGTCACGGCGCGCGCGCGCCAAATATACTGGATCGGAAGTGTGACGACGGCTCGATCAAAGTGACAATATCTCTCATTCACGGGGCTCTCCAGGCCCATGAGATTGTCAGGGCACTGCAGGCCCAATTCTGATAAGTATGAGGATCGTTGCAATGACAACTGATCTCTGAGAAAGAACCGCGAAATTATCATGCATGATGCGAGGCACTCCAGGCCCCAAAAGTACACCGACAAGCAACACGAACAATAACGAATCATGGATAATGCTTTGCATCTGTCGTTCTCTGGCGCCGTTCCAAGATAATACAAAGATAGCTTTGGATGTATAAGATTACTGGCGGACGACCTGCCTGGGTGCGTTCATGTCCGATTGCCAGATCCTATCATGTAAAGCAAAAGCCAATAGCGAAATACAATGCGAAATCAAACATATCCAATCGAACGATACATCTATCAGGACATATCAACATATTCATGAATAAAGCACGTAATGACACCAACTCAATTCCCATAATCGATGATGGTATAAAAAAACCTACACACAGATACACGGTGAATATGTCAATTAAAAATCACGTACAGTTCTCGTAGTAACGCTCATCCCAAACACGATTCCCGTAGTCATTGAACCAGCTGCTGATGATAGCCTGGTAGCTGTCCCATGACCAGATGCACTCGTTGTCGTCGCTGTCAATGTAGACCCATTGGGACAAGTGGCGCGACCAGTAACGGCATGCATCGCGTTGGTAGTGCTGGAGTCCGCGACGCCACCAAGTATAGACATTGCGGCACTCGCGTACGGCACTCCTGCTACGGCCACGGTCGTCATCGTAGTCGTGCTCGCGCCTCGGTGATGTCAGGGGGCGGCGCGATGTCGAGGAATGGGCGACTCCACCAGCCCGGTCCGCAGCGTCAGCCCAGCCAGCGCCGCCAGGATCATAGGCGGGCGCGGGGCCATCGCGGCGCGGGGGTGGAGGAGCAGGGGCGAGGCGGATGGGTTCCTCGGGGGCAACAATGAAGTCGACTGTCTTACCCTTGCCCGCCCGAAGGCCTGTCAACTTGACGCGGTTCACTTGACCTCGCCCCCTCCCTGAGGTAGCGGAAAAAAATCAAATGTCCGCGGTCAAGCCGCGCGCCGCGAGGCATCGCTCCGGGAGCCTGTGCCCGCTGGCCAGCATATCCGAGCCGCTGGCTCTCGCTATGCAGGCGCATTCCCTCGTGCATGTCCTCGATCGTGAATGGGCGCAGGGGCGACTGCGCTCTGTATGTCGTCATCTGGCGGTGGAAGACGCCATCCTCCCATAATCGATGCGCCAGGTCGGGATACGGATGATGAGGTCGGGGATCTTCTGACCCGGGTCAATCCAACCCCGGGCCAACCAGGCCTGCAAGATCCTGCGCCCAAGCCCGGCTCAATGTGAAGGACCCTGCAGGGCCCTGCGCCCGAGCCCGGGTCAATGCGACCCTGGCGTTGCAGGATCCTGCGAGATCCGGCGCTCTGGCTGACCCCCGTTTACACTGACCCCCGTCTCGAGGCCCCCGATGCAGGACCGCCCCCTCCTTGCCGGCGTCTTCTTCCTGTCCACCGACGCGGCGTTGGCCAGGGCTGGGACTGCCAGCCTCCAACCACCTGGAGTGTCGGGGCGTGGCTTGTTTAGCCAGTCTGCGATGGAAGTCTTCGGCAATGGATTCATCGGAACCTGTGCTGGACATCCGCGCGCATTATTTGGCGCGCGATGTTCTCGTCCATCTGGTCGCGGATCCAGTTATGCACATCAGCCAAAAACTGGACCTGGCACGAACGTGTTTCCCCATGCTGGAACGACTCAGAACAAATTCGGCGCAGGCCATCATCGTTTGGGTCGGCATTTGGGAGGCCACGGTAGCAGCTTGCGCGATGCTGCTTGGCGGTCTGGCACCGAGCAGCTCCGTTCTCGATCAATTGTTGAATCCGCCTGCGGGCGTTGCCGCCAGTGCCCAACTTGCGGCCGATCATTCGAACGATACGATTCGGGACGAAGCTGGCGCGGTTGGTGGCAAGGTCCTCGGCTAATGATCGCAATCCCTTGTCGGTCATAGAACCAGAGATTCCCATCCAAGATCTGGTCGCGATCGCGATGTGCTGAGGCCGTGCCCTGATGGTCTCGGGAGAGTCGCTCCGCTCTGCGGCGGAGTTCCTGGTCCAATGCATCGTCGACGCGAGGGCCACCCATGACATCGTCATAGTCGGAACGCATCACCTCGATGAGCTGTTCCTCGGCGGGGGCAACGGCAGACGCAACGCTTCCAGGGTCAGGGACGGGAATGTTTGCAGCATCGGGCGGCGGAGTGGTGGAAACCCTGAGGTTCTATTGGTCGCTGATCGGGTTCCCCGGCGTGTCACCGTACTTCTTGTCTGATAGTACTGTCGATTCCCAGAGACTGAGTAGGGGTGCCAACGCTGGATGATTATGGAGAGTGTCCGTCGATGAAGTCGTTGGCAAACGAAGTGTAGCAGCACTCTGAAAAATGGTGAACAGATGTGGAATCCAACGAGACACTACTAAATCGTCGTTATCGTCCCAACTCATCTCTGTCATCATGGTAGACAGGAAACGATTGCGCCCACAAATGTTTGGCAATTCTTTGGCCCAGGGAGAGAATGGGATGAAGATCGTCTTGTGCCAATATGCCTTGGGGTCTCAGCGGAGCCGTGTCTCCAAATGACTCTCATACGAGTATGTGTCTCTGTATGTTGCCGCACATACCTGATCTACCTCCAACAGTGGCGTCTGCAGCAATCCAACAGCTTGTGTATTTTTGCCCGTCTTGCGAAGGTCGTTCAGTTCCGCTGTAGAACACATGTAAAAATGAATTGCAGGTCATCGGCGACTTCGATCGTCGTGATCAGCTTTGTCTCGTCGATCTTGATGTCCTGATTGTCGTTCTGTTGGAATGTGGGTGTGTCCACCGGCTCGTCGATAACAATGGCTTCATCGATAAATCCAAGGTGGGACTCGACATCGTACAAGCTCAGGTGGTCAGTGTACATATCGGACAACTGTGCATGCAGTGGAACTGCGAAAGCAAAGCTGGTGTGCTCGTTAATCTTGTTCTCGGCATACCAGATGTTGGCCCAGAGCGGGCCGCGGCCTCGAAAAGGGATCTGTACGCTGACGCATGGACCATTGTGAACAATGTCGAGGATCGGTCCGTAGATCTTACCCTTGCCTAGCGTGAGTGCGACATCTTTCTTTGCTGGCCACAGGCGATGGACGGCGCGGCAACGGGCCGAACCATGCAGACGTGTGTATATGAAGTCGTTGATGCGGATATTCTGGAAGCGACTGCAACGATCCCATGTGCCAAGAGGAAGTGTCCCCACCAGGGGTTCGAAATACCCTTCGTTGCAATTGTCCACAACAGTCCAGTGAACCATGTTCAGAATGGCCTCTTTTGTCAGAGTCGGTGCAGGTTTCGCCACCGGCTCGCTGTCGTACAGGAGGTCATCCAGTTGCGACCGGTCCTGCTTCGGCACTGGTTGGAGACCTGGGATCTTTGGAACACTCGGTGCAACAGAAGAAGAAGATGAACGCATCCCGACAGGCATCGGCTTTGCTTTTGGCGCCTAGACGTGCGTTCGCGACGACTCTGCTGCTGGCGTTGCCACCGGCACAATCTCGCCCCTTGTTCGCCGAGCCAGAATTCACGGCCAGCAGTCATGGCCGAGCGCATGTCGATGACCACGTCGATCTGCTTCTTCTCGTGCTCGAACTTGTATCCAGGGGTCGTAGTATGAGGGTTCTGTTTCATAGCGCACGAAGGAACTGGAACTGTATAGTGCCTCACGCCGTGTGTGGCGGTCAGCACCATAGCCTGGAACAGTGCCAATCTTCCGAATACTCATCCAGGCGCCATTCGTAGTAGCATGGTGTGAGTACTTCACATCCGTCCATGACAAACGCTTCCAGCATATATTCCATGGTTGGCTGTTGCGGTGTACGGCAGTATGACCACCAATGACACGGATGGCCAGTATACGATCCCATGCAAAGTCTGCTCCCAACACGTCTGGGTTGGGACGGCGGACCAAGACCTGGAAGCGGGCCTCTTCGTCGTCGATGCGCAGCTGCAGGGCGCGCAGGACGGCGATCATGTAATACTCCTGTGCTTGCCATGGCTGGCCAGCGCGGTCAGCCTGATGCACATGCGCGTGGACTGCATTCCGATCGGGGCCGTGATCATCTCGTGTGAATACTTCGGACACGATGTGACTGAAGGACTTGTGGTGATTGGCCACGGCCCAAGTGTCGACGTGTTCGAGCTGCCAGATATTGACGCGACGGTCGAGAAATTGATCCAAGCCGTTGCGGCCGCTGTTGTCGTGTCGGAGTGCGGTTGGTAGAGCCTCATTACTGAACCTCTGCGGTGATCGCATAGTATGTCCAGGATACTGTGAACCAGCCAGGAGAGGCAGGCCCAACTGTTTGGTCGTCACATTACATAGAGCAATCCATGTGTAGCCTGGGAAGCAACCACTGTTCTGTAGGTCGGGAGCGCGCTTGATCACGTAGTCTTCGCAGTACAAACTCTGTTTATAATCCTCGATCGTTTTGCGCGACTCATACTGACCACGTCCACGCAGGATCGGGAAGACCCAGGGAAATGGGTCGGACACCTTGGCACGAATAGCATCTTCTCTGGGAGTAATGCCAAGCGTAGTCTCGTCCTCTAGCCTCATCGTGGTGTCATGCTGCGATCGTGCGCAACAGTCGTGTGCACCCATGATCTTGTACTTCGTAGTCTCCACAAGTGGATCCGCAGGTGCGGAGGTTGCCTCCGGCGCCGCGGTGTCCACTGCTGAAGAGGACGGCGGTGCCGGTGGTGGAGTAGGTACAGTCGCCGATGCCACCGATGCCGCTGGCGCGGGTGGCAATGGCACCTACTATGCTGGTGCAGGAGGCGGCTGCTTGGGAAACGCACCCGGCATAGCGTCATCCTCTCGCGGTGGAGGACGCGTCGGAGGAGCTGGCGGGACAGGCGCGCGAGCTGTCGCAGGCGCGACGGACGGAGGATCAGGCGGTATCTCCGTTTGTGACTTGGCCTGGCTCTGAAACCAGTTGGTAAGCTCAAAGATGTAGCCCGCGTTGACATCCCGCCCCCGCTCGAAGATACCTGATTTCTCGCTGGCACGAGACGGGGCAATATCCATGATCTTGTTGGCGAACTGCTTCAATACCACCCAGGTAGCAGCATGACGTACCATGAAGTTCCTGTTGTACACGGCCCTGATGAATTCACGCTCGGGAGATGAATAGGAAGCCCACGTCTCGGGGAAGGTGTCGATCATGCTGCTGAAGCGACGAAGGACAATATCCCAAGATATGTAGTCTTTCCTCCGAAGGAGTATGAAGTGCCTTGCCGTCCCAGTCCGTACCGCATGCAGCAGGAATGGCCTGAGTCTATACAGGTGGGGGATCTTCATGGGATGTCGCCTCCGTTGGGGCGGCAGCAAGGATCGGGCCCTGGTTCCGGTGTGTCGGGGCGGCAGAAGATGATCCAACTGCAAGAGTTGCCTCCGGCGGAAAGACCGGAGGAGGGTCAGACGAAAAGTGAAACGCCTGAAACGTCGCTGTCATCCACGCAGCCAAGTCGCGTTCTCCCAGGGATTGCACGCGCAGAGCCTGCAGTCCTTTCGAACGTTGGAATTTCGTGGATAGTTCCAGGCGGACGCGGAGAGCTTCACGCATCTCCTGCGCCTGGGCGTGGCCCTTGTAGTCGTTGACAGGCTGTATCAACGGATGGCGGAACGGGAATGGCTGTGTCGGCAGCGAGAGCGGAACCGCACTCAGGTTCCTGAGGGCACCGGCATGCATGAACTGCTGCGTCAACTGCACCAGGCTATGGTCCGTCTTCTGTGGATGCCACGAGTTGGTATGCGTTCGATCCTGCTGTCGGATCCATTGGTCGGCAGGTAGCACAACTATACCACGGCCAGTGAACATCTTGATCATCTCGTTCATGTGCTCGTTGAACATATCCGGTGGCCCCCATTGGTAGGCCTTGCCAGGGCACGTGACTGTGGGAGAACGGAAACAGTTCAGAACGTCGATGCAACGAGATATGTCCACATTGGCATGCTCAGGAAGTGTTAGAAGAGTGTTGCCTGGTGAATAGAGCCAGCGATTCTCGCACTCAGCTGGTACTGGCGCACAAGCGCGATGTGGCTCAAGTTTCAGCAATTTCCCGTCCGTGGTAACGTCGTTGCCAGACCACCAAATGAAAGCGCTGAGGCCTCGCTGATAATGACGCTGTTTGACATAGGCTGGGAAACGATCCGGCCAGTAGGCCCAGATCACCTCATTGAGCTCGCGGTACTCGTCGTTCCTACCACTTATGTATAGTGCACGAGCACGGCGGACATGATCGATGATCTGCTTCTGCTCCGCATTGGCTGGGTCGTTGGAGGCCATGATGTCGTCGAGACGACGACGTAGAGTGGTGCGGTAGGTCTCGCGCGCGGCGGCTGGCCCAAGAGCGCGGGCGTCGCCGCCGGCCTCCGGCAGCAGCGGCGAGTCGCACCCGAGAGGCGTGTCGTGCTCCAGCCAATAGCGCTTGTAGTTGTTGCACGATAAGGACCAGAAGAGACTGTCACCTCTCATCCACGTGGCGAAATCCTCCAGCGTCGCACCCGCCTGGCACTGGAAGTCGCGCATCCATGGACATACCAATGGAACCAATGCTGGATTGGAGGCACCAGCGATCCGACGACGCGAGTCAATGGAATTCAACTCGTCGGTGCCAGCACATGGTGTCATTGACGGCTTCTTCTTGCCACGAGATCTCGGACTTCGACGCCATGAGACAGCTGGAATCACTGTAAAGATTGGCCCACTTGAAAGCGTGGCCGTCGGGGCCCAAAGCGTGGATAACGGTAAGGCCGAAATCTTCGTCCACCATTGGGGCCCATCCGTGGTCACGCATCATGCTCAGGCAGTACCGGCCATCTGCGAATGCAGACCAGCGTGGTGCCGTAGCGTCTGGAGCGACAGGGCCCTCGTGGAAACATCCTGCGTTCCCGCTGGCAGGAATGTCGGCAGGGCGACGGGCGTTCGGAATCCACGGGCCCCACGCTGAATCCACATTGGACAGTCTTGTCAAGGTAGCGTGATCCTGTGCGAGTGTTGACACCGGCATGGGGTCACAACTCTCGCCGCCGAATCCTCCACGGGCCGTGGCCCGCGAGGATGCTTTGATTTCGTGCTCATTGTATGCGGACAGCATGTGGAAGACGCGACAGCACGCGCGCTGAAGCGCCTCGGCGAGTTAGCCGATCTGCCCCGCCATGTCAGACGTGCGAGGTGCGGCTAGCGGATCCGTGGGCAACTTGATGTCCGACTGCGCGGGGAAGTTATACGCCGTGAGTCCATGGTCGCGGACAAACGGCGGGTGAGGACCGTCGGGTGAACGCAGCATCTGCATGGTCTCGTCGAGGCTCGCAGCTGACGAGCCACTCGAGAAGGCAGAGCCCGCAGCGCCCCACGGCATCCGTAATACTTTCCACATTCCGCTCGCCACTCGAGCGCAGATCCCCTCCGGTGGACACTCGGGCGCCTCGGCGTCGACGCCGATCCCCGGAGGATTTGCCCAGGGAAAGTCAGGGCACTGGCGGGCCGCATGATCAATCCAAGGGCCCTTCAAGTAAAGACCCATAATAGAAAATCAGACGAAGAAGAATGTCATCCATGGAGCGGCCGCGGCAGGGGTGGGGTTCGGCTCCACAGCTCCGGCGATTGTGTCGCCAGTCTCAAATGTCACCTGGGATGCCGAGGTGAGTGGCCCCTGCTTGCTCGAGCGGAGCCAGTAGGATCCACCCCCGTCAGGACGACTCTCGGTCACGCGCTTGTAGCTCAGTCCGCTGCTGAACGGGCGGCTGCGAGCAGTCTGCCACTCAAAGGCTGGTCCGTTGCGGATGTTGCCATCGGCAAACGCTGGAGCGCCCCAACCTGCGTCCCGCGCAGCTTGATCGGGCCCGTCGACATTGCGGGCCGATTGGCGCGGGCTGGGTCCTCCGCGCGAGCGGGAGGGGGGGGGGGGGGGGCGTCGAGCGCGGGCGCGTTGAAGGCCGAAAAGTGCTGCGGAACAAATATGAATTATGCTTGCGCGACAAACGCACGCGCGCGAACGACTGCAGCAATGGAGATACTAGCGGCCAGGGAACCCTTCACGGAAAAGGGCGGCCTTGGCGATCTCCGGCTTCTCAGCGGCCTTCGCGGCGACAGGAGCAACGAGAGGCAACTCGAGGAAGTCCTGCCACAGCTGAGCCTTCTTAGGCTCAAAGTGTTTTGTCATCATATATGCGACCTGTTGTGTTCCTGCGTATGTTAGTTGGAAATGTTCATGTTGGCATGTTTCCGTTATCCAATCCAAGCTAATACGATCAGCGCGATGAAAGTGACTAAGGGCTTGTGCACGTCCCTTGTGCACTATCGTGATCACTGCCACGTTGCCCTCTGCCACAATGAGGTTGACGACGGGTGGCGAAGCAGAGTGATCAGGAGGATGAGGAACATGCAATACCATATCATCACACACAATATCATGGGTAGTAGATGGTGGTGACGTGGGCAACGTCTGCATTGAGGGCCGCGCACGGGGGGGAGAAGCACGCGTGGGCGAAGCCCGTCTTCTTGGCGGTTCGTGACCCTTCTTGGCCGCCAGCGCGCGTCGCCGCGCGCGGTGCGCGCCGCCGCTTCCCAGGGCGATAGCAGAGGCAGGCCTTCAGTTTGTAGCGCAGCATCCAGCGCCACGATCTCCGACACGGTAGAAGAGTGGGAGACAACGGTCTGCTTCTTGCACGCGGAGTTCAGGGGGGAGAACGCGTTGGGACCACGAGAGCGACGAAAGCGCCAGTGATAGATGTTGACGTGCTAACGCAGTCTGCAAACGAGGCATCTGCGAACAGCACGATCGCAATCTTGTTCGACTCATCACCAACCCATCCGCGTAGGCAGTGACACCGCGTGGATTTGCGATAGCAAACCAGTCGATGTAGCCTTTCACCACATGCATAATTCCACTTTGTAATTTCCCTGGCAAGCATGCGCGCCGGACGCACGCTATAAAATCTGCAGCAGCGGGCCAGATACAAGGTCTTCATGAATACATTCGCGGTGTCTGGTCCCAGTACGCCGGCATCCTCACAATCTCTGTCGGTGAACGATGTGCCCTCTACGCCAGGGGTGTCAGCATGTGGGAGTGTGTCGTAGGTGAAGCCCGTGGCGTCGGGTGCGGGTTTTGCAACCGACGCGGACGGTCGGGTTGCGGGTTGGTCAACCGGCGCCCTCGACCGAGGCTTGGTTGTTCTCGGCTTTGGCGATGCGGATCGCTTGCGTCGGGATCCAGGCATGCCCGGTAGCTTGGAGACGCATTCTAGACACCGTTCGACGCACTGATCAGTGAAACCAAGCACGTCGTGCCGAATCCCACGTACATTGGAAGCTGACGTGTGCTGCTTCCTGTCGTGTTCAGGAAGCATAGGTCGCATCGTATTCATACGCTTGTCGAAAACGTCCTGTGGTACTTTCTAAGTGTCTTGGCCGCATCCCAAGTAGTGGTCGTACGTCGTAGGAGGACCCAGTTCGATACCACTGTGCCGCATCAGACCCCAGCCTTTCTGAGGTTGTCAGTGGGTCCTGCCATCTTGAAGTCGTCGACATAAACTGACAGGATGAGGTCGAGCTCGTCGCGAATCCACGCGCATTCCCAGCCGGGAACCGGAGCAAAGTCCCCTGATTCGAGACTGGCACGGCAGTGTCGTTCCCAGAAGACACCTGC